CACACGCACCTGGCATGAGTTTTTTTAAGCCACTGGGTCTGGGACGCGAACCGCAGTTGACTACGTGGGAGTCCAGCGACATAGCCATTACGCTAACTGCTGGTCCCTCTTTTTTTGTGAATTACCTCAGTTGCCTTCCAATAAATTCCTTTTTAGACATAAGCTAGCTCAAGTTGGTCTCTGTTACTTGCAACCAAAAGAATCTTAACTAATATAGAACTGTGAATTACCTAGAAGATTGTAGTGTGTCGTGCTTCACAAACTTATTTGAACATTGAATGCTTTTTCCAAGTTGTTCTGTAATACATGCTTTGGAGAAGCCCTAGTTTAACAGTGCTATGAGAACTTCTGAGTTTTACATCAAACATCTTTAAAATATTTAATACTTTTTTCCCCCAAAACAATACTATAGTGAGGTGCATTTGTAAAAGATCCATTTATCCAGAGTTAGATGTAAAACTCAGAAGTTCTCATTTTAGAAAACTTGAATGACATTCTTAAGTCCAATAATTCAACAGATGAAGAACAATTTACTGCCTCTTTAAATATTTCAGGACCATTTTTCAATTATCTGCTGTAATCCAAACTTGTAATATTGTATAATCAAAACATTTTCCAAACTGTTTTTTGGGCAGTAATACATGCTATTCTCAAAACATATGTATTTGTACTTGCCTTTGGGTAGTAGTTTTATAGAGTAGTTGTTGTAACACCATATCAGGAAAATATACTGTTGATTTTAAAGGTGTGCCCAGTTCTTGACTTTTAAATGAGTTATTATTCTTGGTTGATCTTGAAGACGTGACCCAAAAATAACCCAGAAATGTATAACATGGGTATACATACATATGAGTGTGTGTGTGGTATACTATAACTTAGAGGAATGTATCACTTCAAGTTTATGTTGTAAAGTTTGAGTTCACAGTTGAGTCACCATATTAATTGCAGTTGCTTTAAAGTTTAAATTCCTTATCACCCAGCAATTATTTGCTGATCTGGATTTAGTAATTTTTGCTTATAAAATACCATTTGAAAAAACATTAAACTGGAAAATGTGATGATGTATTGTACATGTGACTTTTTACATTTAACTCTGCTCGTTATCATCTAGGGAGACTGATACAGATTTTGGAAGCAGGATGAAAAACTCATCTCTTTTTGTCTTTTTTAATGCCATACCTCTTATGAGGAGTACAAATTGATGTCCTAAAATAACAACTTAATAAAGGAGGGAAATCCGTTTTGTCTGCTCTAAGAATAATATATTGTTTAGATTTAAGTTACACTTTTGTTGTTCTTAAAATTTTTGGCATTTAATGAAGATAAAACTAACTTTAATATTCTAGTACTTAGGTATAAAGAAAACAGCAGTTTGTAAAATAATGATCTCATAATTTTGTAAAGTATATAGTCAGTTCACAAATCTGTCTTTATCCATGCTTTATCTCTCTGCTCAGGTTTTTAAAGCTGATTTAACTTTTTCTTCCTTAAACTTGAAGTATCATAAAGTGTTAATTGGTAAATATCCTAAGTAAAGGATAAAACTGAAAACCATTCCTATCTTTGGTCTTTGTGCTATTGATGTCAGGTACAGTAATTCCTCTTCTGTGGTCTTGTTTTCCACAGTGTTGGTTACTACCATACAGTACAGTAAGATTTTGTTTTCTTTTTTCCTCTCTTTTTTTAAAATAACACTAGAGGGCATATGTCTGTGTGTGTATATGTATGTGTGTGTGTTTGTGTGTGTGTGTGTGTGTGTGTGCACGCACATGTGTGTGTGTGTGTGCTTTTGCTGTTACACTTGTTTTAGACTGGATCTCTCCATGCCACAATGTTTATTATTTATTTAGGTTTTTGTCATAGGGTACATGGTGCTTGCCAGCGAGGAGAGAGAGAGAGATGCAGAGAGAGGGAAAGTGAGAAATCACCACCCCTCCTGGGGGGCATGGCTCACCATCCCTTCCCTTCTCCATTCTCCTCTCAGGACGTCGGCCTTGCACGCACACACACCCAGCATGATTTTCAAGCCATTGGGTCTGAGACTTGAACTGCGGTCGGCTATGAGAGAGTCCAGGGCCTTAATTGCCATACTGACCCTGCTTCTAGGTTTCATATTCCCACTTAATGTGAGCTCCATGCTCGCTGCTCAAGCATCCTTCTCTCGGGGAAGCTCTTCCTGACCCTGAGTCCCGCTGGATCCTGCTGTCAGAGGTGCTCATGGAACCTGGACCTCTCTTCAGAGCACACGTCCCAGTGGGTAATTACAGAGTGATCGCCTGAGGTCACTAAGTAAGCACTGCCTGTCTCCCCCACTGTGCGCGTTGTGTGGCTTCCAGTAACGCACAGTATCCTGGTGTCCAGCATGGAGCAGGCACTTAGCGTAGTAATACTTAGGTGTATTGGGGTGAGTGAATGAGCCACGCTAGTTTGTTTTAGTGTTAATCCTCCCCAGGGCCTTGATCGGAATCCCACTTCTCATATGAACTCTGTAAATACTGAGTGAAAAATGGCATGTACGCATCTGAGTTCTCGTTCTCCTCACCCAGGGTCTTCTGTGGTGCCTTCACCCACACTGAAGCTTGGACCCCAGGGTCATCATTGGCTTTGAGTTCAGTTGGGGAAGAAAACGCAGAATTAAAAACCAAGTGCCACGCGTGAGAACTGTCTCATTGAATACGATCTGAGAGTCAAGGACTGATGGTTAGAGAATTCATAATATATTTAATTTTCTGGGACCAGAATCCTCCTTATAACTTGCAGCGCTGTTGTTCATTGTTGGCGCAGTCACCTTGAGAGGTATGTTTTAGGAACACTTGGTTTATGAAAGCAGGTACTCTCTGTGTCAGAGAGAGAAAGCGACACATTATATTTTGGGGTCTGGGCCAGGATTGTGCTAAAGTGGCTGGATCTCACATGGCCAACCTCTCAGTTCAGATCCTGGACCTGGTGGCTTGAAAAACACGTGTGTGTGTGTGTGTGTGTGTGTGTGTCAGAACAAAAGGTGATAGACTACCATGGAGCAGAAATCGTCAGTCTTCGTTTGCTGTCACTAGTGAAGGAAGAATTTCTGTTTCTCAGCCCCAACCTTGATTCCCGTGGACTGCAATGTGCTTCTTCTCCCCATGGGCTAGTTATGGTTGGTGTTGCTGGGACTGTCCACCGAGGAAACACTTGTTTGGGCATTTTCGAACAAATTTTTGGACTCATCCGCTGCCCTTTTGTGGAGAATACTTGGAAGATCAAGTTTATCAATCTGAGAATTGTTGGAGAGAGTTCCCTTGCTCCAGGAACATTACCGAAACCAGCTATTACATTTGAGCCGAGTGACCTAGAGGCCTTTTATAATGTAGTCACTTTGTGTGGCACCAGTGAAGTACGATTTAATGTAAAGCAGGCATTCGATAGTGGAACTGGAGACCAAGCCTTATGTAGTGGAAACGAGGCATTACTGAACAAAAGGGAACTGAGTTTACCTAACCCTGTAAAGCACTGAGCACTGTTTATCAGCCTAAAAAATCTCATATGCAGAAATTCTTCCCAGTATTACAGAAGTAAAGTGATTTCAGATGTAAGAATTGACATATTTTAGTTGAAATACCTTTCTGGACTACAGACATTATGTGAATACTTGCCTATTTCTACTTGAGTTGCAACAAATGTTCTGAGAGCTCAATGCAGTTCATCAAATAAATCTCACTTTAGATGTTATAGCTAACCGTGTGCCTTAGAAACCAGGTAATAATTTCACTTTGGTTAGTGAGCATTCTGCTCGTTCCGCTGTTGGTCATGTGAGAAAGGACTAAAAATATTCAAGGCTTCCTCTAAGTTTCTTATTTCCTTTTATCCTTTTTTCCCCCCAAACAATACTATAGTGAGGTGCATTTGTAAAAGATCCATTTATCCAGAGTTAGATGTAAAACTCAGAAGTTCTCATTTTAGAAAACATTAGATGTAAAACTCAGAAGTTCTCATTTTAGAAAACTTGAATGACATTCTTAAGTTCAATAATTCAACAGATGAAGAACAATTTACTGCCTCTTTCAATATTTCAGGACCATTTTTCAATTATCTGCTATAATCCAAGCTTGTAATATTTTATAATCAAAACATTTTCCAAACTGTTTTTTGGGCAGTAATACATGCTATTCTCAAAACATATGTATTTGTACTTGCCTTTGGGTAGTAGTTTTATAGAGTAGTTGTTGTAACACCATATCAGGAAAATATACTGTTGATTTTAAAGGTGTGCCCAGTTCTTGACTTTTAAATGAGTTATTATTCTTGGTTGATCTTGAAGACGTGACCCAAAAATAACCCAGAAATGTATAACATGGGTATACATACATATGTGTGTGTGCGTATTTATATATATGTGTGTGTGTGTATGTGTGGGGGGTATACACACACACAGTATAACTTAAGAGGAATGTATCACTTCAAGTTTATGTTGTTAAGTTTGAGTTCACAGTTGAGTCACCATATTAATTGCAGTTGCTTTAAAGTTTAAATTCCTTATCACCCAGCAATTATTTGCTGATCTGGATTTAGTAATTTTTGATTATAAAATACCATATGAAAAAACATTAAACTGGAAAATGTGATGATGTATTGTACATGTGACTTTTTACATATTATAAAATACCATATGAAAAAACATTAAACTGGAAAATGTGATGATGTATTGTACATGTGACTTTTTACATTTAACACTCTGCTCATTATCATCTAGGGAGACTGATACAAATTTTGGAAGCAGGATTAAAAAAACTCATCTATTTTTGTCTTTTTTTAATGCCATACCTCTTATGAGGAGTACAAATTGATGTCCTAAAATAAGAACTTAATAAAGGAGGGAAATCCATTTTGTCTGATTTAAGAATAATATATTGTTTAGATTTAAGTTAAAGTTTTGTTGTTCTTAAAATTTTAGGCATTTAATAAAAATAAAACTAACTTTAATATTCTAGTACTTAGGTATAAAGAAAACAGCAGTTTATAAAATAATTATCTCATAATTTTGTAATGTATACAGTCAGGTCACAAATCTGTCTTTACCCATGCTTTATATCTCTGCTCAGGTTTTTAAAGCTGATTTATCTTTTTCTTCCTTAAACTTGAAGTATCATTATAAAGTGTTAACTGGTAAATATCCTAAGTAAAGGATAAAACTGAAAAAAAAAAACAAAAAAACAGTGCTATGAACAGTCAGTCTGGGCTCTCCCTCAGTGATGCAGTACTATTTGTATCTGGTAACTTTTCCATTTACTTACAGATTTTACATAGAACACACTGCATTCTGCAACATACTTAAGGCAAGAGCAGCAGAATCAGATGGTTTAGTGCAGGGCTGGTCATTCTATAGCCATAAGTAAACAAGAAATTCAGTTTTATTAACTGAACCAACATAATATTTTTCAATCCTAAATATCTAGTAGATTATGGAAATTCAGAGAAATAGCAGGATAAAAATACAGTGAATTCACAGCATTCCTGGTGAAAATCTGAATTCAGTCATTTAGTTTAGCTCTGTAATTTTGAACAAGGTCCTTTACTATAAGTCTATTTCTTATTCTGTCAAATGGGGATAGTAATTTTTTCTCCTTTGTTTTTCGGTTAGAACTAAATGAAATAATATTCATTACAATAATATTTACCACTTAGTAAGATAGTCCTACATGCTAGATACTGTACTAAGGCCTTTAAATTCATTATTTAATTTTCTTAATATTTCCTTTAGGTTGTTACTATTGATTTTTTCCCATTTTGTAGATGAAGAAGGTTAGGCTCAGCAACATTATGAATATTGCCTAACATTGCTCCATAGACTGAAGATTCAGGATAGAAACCCAGACAGTTTGACTCCAGTACCCATATGTTGTTAGCTCAAGTATTTAACTATTTTATCCAGAAAGTTTTGTCCTTCCCTTTGATTAACTAGCAAAAAAAAAGCATATTGCCATAACAATATATTTAGATTGTGTAGGAAACAAATTATAAATCTATGTGGATGATATTGATGAATTCTGGCTTCTATTCAAGTTAGCCATGTTTGGGAGTCTGACTTTATTGGAATGTAGAGGGTTTGGATTGACAAGATACAATGAAACAAGAAACATTTACAGGAGCACCTGTGTCATATAAAGGGAGCTAAAGGAGCACTGGAATCTGGGTAGAAACAGTGAAGGAATATTCCTAGAAGTAATGGTTTTACCTAGAGTAGGAATGTCCATTAGTGGGAAATAAGCTGTTACAGGTAACAATAATATGTTCAAAGTTTGAGTGGTAAGGATGAAGAAGCTGGTTTGTTTGAATGGAAGATTTAGATTAAATGGTATAAGAACAATAGGAATATGGGCCAGCAGATGACATAGGGGTTACATTGCTGGACTCCCATAGGGCCAACTGCCATTCAAGTCCTAGACTCCATGGCTTGAAACTCATGCCAGGCATATGTGCTTACATGCCCAAAATCCAAGGAGCAGGATGGAGGAAAAGAGAGTGCGGCGTGGCCATCTCCCCCAGGTAGTGATTTCTCTTTTCTCTTTTTCCGTCTCATTTTCTCTGTCTCTCTCTCTCCCCAATGAGTGCATGTGCACCAAGGCAAAAAAAAAAAATCTTAAAAAACAGGAATAGCTAGATTGAGAAATGACCCAGGTATAAAGTTCCTCCCCTTCCCATATAGGATCCAACATTTATTGAACAACTAATCTGTGTGAGGCATTATACTAATCATTTTACTTCCATGAAATCATCTGATCCTCCTACCAACCACATGAACTTAGTGCAACTATAAAATATATTTGAACCTTGAACATTGATAAAAATGACTCATAGAAATTCAATAACTCACACAAGGTCATTAGCAAATGAAAAAGTCACAATTTTGGGGGTTTTTTTTGTGAGGTTTTTGCTATAGGGTGTGTGCACTCACCAGACAGAGAGAGAGACAGAGACAGAAAGACAGAAAGTGAGAAATCACCTGCCAGGGGAATGGCCATGCCGCAATCTCTTCTCCTCCATTCTACTGTCAGGATCTTGGGCACTCATGCACACGTGCCCGGTGTGAGTTTAAGCCATCAGGTCCGGGACTCGAACCGTGGTCAACTATATGGGAATTCAGTGACATAGCCATTATGTCAACTATTGGTCCTGAAAAAGTCACAATTTAAACCAAGTAATTGAGATTCTGACTGTATGAAATGTATTAGTATCCTAAACTATGATGTAGCCTGGATTAGCTTTATTATCTTACTCCTTTTCTCATAATACTAAAGTAGTTTATTACTTTTATTAGCAATTCTATATTTTTTTACCTGATTTTAAAGACCTCTATCAACTTGTAACTCTTGATCAGCAACTTAGCTTTCATCACTCTCCACAAATGGACCCTCCTCTATTACAGATAAACTATGTTTCTTACTTAGAGTGCCCTCTCTCTGCTAGTTCATGTCTCTGAACTCATTTAAAATTCAGCAAAAATGAATTAAACTTTTGCCTCCAAGAAGCCCTCTGTGACTTTTCTCATTGAATACCAATTCTAAAGTACTTGTTTTTCTCAGAAAACGTATTTTCTCAGTAGATATTGAATGGATATTGATTATTTTGCCCTTAGTAACCTTACTTGAAAAGCGATATTTAGTCTGTGTGTTTTGAGCATGTGTCTGGGTCTTTCCACTAGATGGATTAGAAACTCCTTGAGATTAAAAAAAAGGGATCTATAGGGACCAGAGACAGCATAGCAGTTACAAACCTGGACTCCCACATGGCTGACTACAGTTTGAGTCCTAGACCCAGTGGCTTAAAACTCACACCGGGTGCATATGCATGTATGCCCAAGATCCTGGGAGGAGAATGGAGAAGGGACTGCAGTGTGGCCACCTGCCCAGGGGATGATTTCTCACTTTCCCTCTCACTGTCTCTGTTTCTCTCTCTTGCTGGTCAGCACACATGCCCTAAGGGAAAAAAAACCTCTGAAAAAAAAAAGTATCTGTAAGCAATTTTCATTCATTTGATGTTGCTTGCATACAATCGGTAGAAATGGTAAATGGTACTAAAAATAGTAAAAAAAAAAATCCTTTTTTCCTCATGTGTGTAGAAACAAATTTATTTTAAAATTCCATTTTTCCTTGATAGAAGCTGAAGTTCAGACTGTAATAATTTTTCTCAACCAGAAAGTAATACCAATATTGTAGTGGTAGAAGCTTATTTTCTTTTTATGAAAACTAGATCATTGGTTCAACAAAAATAACATAGCTTAGAAATAAGTGGAGATACTCTGGTTTCTCTTCAGATCACATAATCTTTTGCCTTTTACTAAAGATTTCTGGGGAGAGGAACAATTTTGAGTTAGTAACCAATTTTTTGAGGCCTTGTTTGGCAGGGCTAAGGAAAAAAAATAAAGAAATAAGTGGAGATTAATCATGCCTTTTTTATAAACAAAGGTTTTAATTTTACAGGGCTCTGTAGAGATTGTTTATTTCATAATTACTGAAAAATGGCAAGTATCCCACATAATACCCTTTCCTTTTGAATATGGAAATGCACTTGCACAAGTGCAGATATTTATTTGGCAACCAGACAATGGAGAAGATTCCCGTTTGTGCTTAACGGAATGGAGTCAGTTGGTCCCCACTAATTCAGCCAAGGTTCTCTCTACTAATGGCAAAACATGCCTGTCCCTGTAGCTAAACAAACACTGGATTATTCATTTTCCTTTTGGCAAATGCCATGTGGAAATGCCCATGATACTTGTTGTTTATCATGAATGACTGCTGGGGGATATCCCTTGGTAAAAAGAAAACTGCATAAGGCAAGATAAAAAGGATAAATTTAAACATTGTGGAATTCTCAGTGTGTGTGTGTGTGTGTGTGTGTGTGTGTGTGTGTGTGTGTACAAGTCTTTATATGATTTTTGTTTTGTCTGAATATCCTGCGGTTTGAAAGAATTTTTTTTGAGAGGTTTTTGCTATAGGGCACATGCACTCGCCAGAAAGACAGAGAGAAACAGAGAGACAGCGAGAAATCACCCCCCAGGGGGGATGGCCACGCCGCAATGCCTTCTCCTCCCTTCTCCTCAGGATCTTGGACACTCACGCACACGCGCCCAGCGTGAGTTTAAGCCACCGGGTCCGGGACTCCAACCGTGGCTGACTGCATGGGAATTCAGCAACATAGCCATTACACCAACTGCTGGTCTCTGAAGGAAACTTTTTTGTGTTGGGTGGAGGGGTCAGGGAGCTTTAAGCTTAAAGGATCTAATATAGGTGGTTAACACATTCTCAGTATCCAGATACTACATGGCCTTTTTTTTTTTTCCTTTGTGAATCCTTAACAATAGATGATATTGGGGCTGGCAGGTAGTGTGGTCAAATTTTTGATCATTTTTTTTTTTTTTTGGGGGGGTTTTTGCTGGAGCAT